CCCCATAATGCTAACAAAGAGGATGGAAACGCTCCACCGAATACATTTCAAGTTGTTCATAAGTCACTTAAAAGTGCTAAAGCTAATATACCAGGTAATCTCGAAGAAATCTTCTCGAAATTGGGTTTAGAACAATGGATAAAAGAGTACGAAAATGCCCATGATGAAAGTGTGAATGAAAACTTATCCAAAGATCAACATATCATTAGCAGTTGTTCAAAACAAATAACGTCAAATTTAACCCACTCAAACCAGAATGAATGCCTATTGAAAAAACGATTAAGGAAGGAATCATATGAAGAGGATCACTTACAGGTGAGCGGTTAGCTGTAAAATAGAAAATTTAGATATTTTAATAATTATAAGCATTAAGCTTCCCTTGATTCAGAAGTTCAGTTTTGTAAGTAAGATAATCTCAAAACATTACAAATGCTTCACAGTTGATTGATCACTGGGTGGTGATCAATGTCATGTGTGTCAAGTCCTTCTTAGTGCGGATCGAATGCTATCGAACAAGTTGCAATGTGACCACTAGTCTAGGTGACTCGACATTGCGTGTACTATGTTGAGATAATATGGTGGTTGGAGGTAGTCAACAGGAAGCCCTGGACCCGAGTTTCGTGCTACTTGGCACTCGTCAGAAAGGTGTACCTGTAATCTTGGGGGAACTGGTGCTGACGAGTGCCAAGTAGCACGAAACTCGGGTCCAGGGCTTCCTGTTGACTACCTCCAACCACCATATTATCTCAACATAGTACACGCAATGTCGAGTCACCTAGACTAGTGGTCACATTGCAACTTGTTCGATAGCATTCGATCCGCACTAAGAAGGACTTGACACACATGACATTGATCACCACCCAGCGACCAATCAAGTGTGATTACATCTCAGTCCTACAGGTCGGTCGCGGCCCGGATAGCCCAGTGGTAACGTCTCTGACTGTGAAGCTGGGTGACACGGGATTGAATCCGTCAGGGTGCACCAGTTTCCTCAAGATTACAGGTACACCTTGCTGACGAGTGTCAAGTAGCACGAAACCCGGGTCCAGAGTTTCCTGTTGACTACCTCTAACCACTATTTTATTACAGATGCTTAAATGACACCCATACAGTTAATTATTTTGGTTTATAAATTGATACATTATTCAAAGAGATGATATACACACATAAATCAGAGCATAGACGTAATTTGAGATCATGCGCACTTCATATTTTCCAAAATCTAAAAATGTACTAACATTTTATGTTGCTGGTTTCCAAAAAACGAGACAAAGAATAATCATGGTAATCGGAAAAAAGTGCTAGCATTGTTAAGGAAGAAGTTCCATATACTTTGATTGTAATTAGAATAACTGGATTTTATATTCAGGATTATATAGTTGAAGTTATTTACTTATAGTCATTAGAAAAGAGTAGTTTTCAGAATACCTTCAGAACAGGTACTATTCATATATTTTCAAAATAATAAGAAAACGTATAGGGAGATATTGACGTTAAATAAAAAACTAGTCAATAGATGGTGATACAACAACATAAGGTGTTAAAAACTTGTTCATTTATTGTATTCTGTAATATATCTTGGTTTATATATAAAGGGTAATGAGAAGGAAGCTTATCGATTGTAGAATGTCGATAGTTAGACCAGACCCATAAATGAAAGTGCCCAGTCTGCATTTCGTAATGACAGTAAACATATGTGTTCAGCATATAAGGTAAATATTTATCCAGTTTACATGTAGTGTACAGATTACAATATCAATTTAACGAAATAAAACCAAGAATTACTGCTGATAGCTAGTCATAATGATGGGTTCAGGAGGTCTTTGTGAAACTTTCATCTTGTTGGGGATGTTTCTGTTGATTTGGTAATACATAAAAAAAAGAACGAAATATTCTAACAACCTGTCATGTGGTTTTGAAACAGATTAATAAGAAATCCCAACATCATACTGATAAACAGCATTTTACATCACTGAAGAAAAGAGGGACACTTGGAAATCTAAACAGTTTCGGAAATCTTAATTACGATACAGCGTATGATATTCGTTTAGTTGTTATTTATGTATTAGTTGATCGATTCAAAAACAATATCTACAAAAGATTCTAAAGCTTTGAATAAAATGTTATATATGCTATTCAGAACAAATTAGTTCGTTTTTTGAATTTTACTCGAATCTTTGCTACACCGAGCTCATAAACATTCACATTAATTTCATTTCCATAAGTACGTGAAAGTTTAGTGGGGATTCCGATTCTGAAATACCACAAACATAAAACAACCGAAAAAAGACAAACTAAGGCGAATTCATGCTATCCTGCTCAAATCGCTAATCGTAACGTTTTAAAGTAACCGGACTACTTTCAGTGTGTATAAGCATGCAATTTGTTGCCCATATATATAGCTATCGATTTACTGATTTTTCATTTAAAGTAAAACAAATAAGTAATACATTAATAATATTTTTCCTAAAATTTTAAGGGGCAATTGGTAAGTCCAAACACTATCGAAAATCAATCAAAATCTTGTCCATCGGATTCAGAAAAACAAAGCAAAGACAAAAAGACTCGGTTTTCGTTGCAAGATAAACTAAATACACCATTACTACTAACCTCCAATGACAAGATACACCATACGAGTTTGGACTTATTATCTCTTGAAGTATTTGATCGGCTACAAGGAAATTGCTCAACAAATTCCAAATCCCCTAGTTTGGTAAGCAATAAAGGATTTAGCGAAATAGGCATACACGGCAGACCGACAGTGCTTAAAAACAATCATTATGAATACCCAATAAGGTCATGTTACCCAAGAAGTTCATCTAATTGCAGTAAATGTCTTAATGAGCTCCCAACGGTTGAAAAACAAAATCATGACGCTGTTTTGAAACAAAACATTATAAGGTGTGATGACATAAATCTCGGTCTCATAGGCAGAAATGAAGTTGGACCTGAAAGCCAGAAAATACATCGCTGGTTAGATGAAAATACATACTTAATGAGTGGTTTGTGCCAACCCGCGTTAGCAGATACTTGCAACAAAAAAAGGAAACACACAATTCCACACAAGTCTGATGTAAAATATGTCGATCAACAAGAAAATACAAAACATATGGATTCTGCTTCGAACATAGTCTCTCCGCCTATGCACCCAATCTGGGATACACCCGAAGATCTCCGAACATCATCACTTACTGACTTTCTTCGCTTATAAGACTTTTACCTATTATGGATTCACTTATTTAAATGGTATAAATGTTCGACTGGGTATTGTTTCGTTCTAAAAAAACTATCATGGGAAGTGTTTATTATCTAGCACGGTACAATCCCTAGAGAATATACCTGAAAGCTATCGAAAGCAGAATAAACCTGACAAACTGGAATAATTCTCAACACTTCATTCTTCTGTTAGTTAATGCTTAACCCCATATTTATCAGATAATGTGTACAACATAACAGAATACTCCTATGGTTGAATGAGTTTTACGGAAAGCCATTCTAAATATTCATCATGACTGTGTTACGTACTTTTAGCGTATTGTATGTAAAAGCATACATGGATAAATCTAAACCACTAAAACGAAAGAAGTCTAACTCGAATCTAGTTTTCTAATCCAATTAAATAAGATAAAAAAAATATGCCTGAGTAATCAAGATTGAGCTTTAAGTCACTCCAACGTTCTGTTCAATGAACCGGTCCGAACTTTTCAGGGGAAATGATCGGTTTCGATTGCTCATACATCCAAGCCATATTTTTTGCGCATAACAATCACGTTTTTTTTTGTGGTAACAACTTTCGCGTAATTTATTCTTCGGTTAAAAATACTTAAGGAAAAAAGATGAGTGAACCATTCTGATGTCTTCAAAAATAGAAAAGTTTTGGTCAAACAATGCTGGCTAATTTATTGCACAAAATGTAAAAATAGTGAGCATTTTTACTCAGATTTTATGACATTCGTTTCATAGATAAGTAAGCTAATTTCCCATCATATTTGAATTTGTAAGATTTGCTTCACGATTACAATGAAACTTGAATGTGATAAAAATGTCCATTTAATAATTTAACGCACTTTAAACAGTAACAGATTTCATGAATGATAGGAAGAATTCTTAAGAATAAAGCTTTCATACAACTCTTAGCTTTATTTCATAATAAGCTATACAGTTTTTTATGTTCACACGTAGAAGTTCTGTCAATGATTTTCGATTATTTACAATTCGATCTCGGTCTTTATTAAAATATATCATAGCAATTTTGTTGTTGGTTGGATGGATAACAATACTCGTCTTCTTGATACTATCATATACTTTGAAAGCACCACAAAATCTTCCACATCCTTATCACCAAAAAGACTTTAAAGGCTCCTTGACCACAACAGCCTTTGTCATCTATAAAAAATCTATTTGGATTCGTGTTCCGATTACGGAACGCTCCCGTTATCGCTTCAAACGCAACAACAAAACGACTGGTTACAAATATGAATATGGTGATAATAGTAATCTTAATAAATTCTCCTTCGTGCATATCTATTTACTATGTAAGGAAGTGTTCATATAGCTAAACATCCAGAGTTCATGATTGCTACATGTCTTTGAATTTCGAAGTGGTAACGAAATATTAATATGCTGATGGGTAGGAAACTGATGACAGCATAAACAATTATAAGTATGTATTAACAAGCACATTAAAGTAGCGTAAATTGTTCTAATACATCAGTTAGACTTTTCTTCCGTTATTCGAAAAATCGATCTACTATAGTTCTACATTTAACCAATTGAACTCATGGACTAGGAAGGTCATATTTTCACAAGTAATATAATCATACAGACAAATACTTTGCATTTAAATTTGTGAAAAAAGTTATTTTACAAGGAACATTATTTGTTTCTAATATAAACAGCTAACTAAGCGTTATTTTTAAAGAATAAAACCTTTTCATCATTATAATGAAGCGTTCATTCTGATAGAGGACACTTTATGTTTGATCATGAGTGAAAAGTTGCTATAACAGCAATAAAAAGAAGTTAGTAACATTTTCAGAAGTTTTAATGTATATTGTTTTAATATAAATACGGAATTTACAAACAAATATGCGAATTGTAAATATTTTGGGAATGAAAGATCTACAAAAGAAAAGAGAACAAGTTATCATATATATTCAAAAGTTTATAAACTACAAATTTTATGCTTCACCGTAAACTGAACTCCGTAAAATTGAGTTTACACACTTTGCCAACAACGTATGATAGTCATTCCAATCCAATGATTGTTGCATCTTAGTCATCGTGGTAAAAGTATCCGCCGTAGGTGAAAGTTGAAGGAACGCATATTTATACCGGTCATCATTGTTTAGATGATTAGAACGTAAAGGTCGACCTTTCACTGTTAAATGCACTATTCCAAGTTCAGTAGATAAAAGTTTGGCTATCATATGCGCCAAATTCAAAGCTGTTTGATTTGCCTTAAAAAAAAAATCAAAAAATGAAATAATGTGAACAAATATGAATAAACCGCATTGGAAATTCTTATTAAACATATCCAGAAGACTTTTGTTGATTTCTGTAATTTTGCAGACTTAGAATATAAGAAATACAACGATTTTTCATCATTAGCATGAAGTTCAAAACTAAACACGTCCTTAAATTTATAAAATTCCATCAGTTGGTGAGGGTTTCTTAATAATTCCTAATTGGACACATATAACCAAGATAAAAGATAAACGTGAAATAAACGCTTGCTAAGATGGTGGACGATAACGAGTAAGATGTAGTGAATTAATAAGTGCTGAAAAACAAAAGACGGGGTAATGACTAGTTCGAATTACTGCTACAATTTAGCATAATAGACGGAGAAACAATGAACAGGATAAATTGAACTTGAAAACATCATAGAATAATAAGCGGGTTACAGAAAACACGAATGACTTCAAGTGAACAGTAATTGATTTTAAGTTTTATTTTATTAAATGACGTTGCGTCACAAACAGAGGGTTAGAGAAGAATAGGTGGATGAAAATAATTTCCGAGTCAAAATTACGAAAGTAAATTGTCCACTTGACAGGTATTACGAAAAATAAAAAACGTAAAGGTCATTATGACAAATGAATAACAGTTATGAAAAATTGATAGAGGGTAATACTAATTAATTATGGTTTTAAATTACAAAGCAATAATAAAGACGAAACAAGACCAAAGCATATTGCAGAAGGAAATTAGGACCAAGGAAGGGTGAGAGGTTGGACGTATCGATTTGGCACACAGAGTTCGAGCTTGAACATGTGGATCTCCAAAGCCTTAGCAGTTTTTGACTCGACCTCTTTACGATCCGGTTCCTTTGACTTTTTAGATTATTTTGAAGGAAAACTTGTTTGGAGTGACATGCCTAGAGTTGATTAAGTGCTGCTGTATTGAACTAGTGATTGTTTTGGATTCACCTTTCAAAAGCCATACCGGGTAATGCTCTGAAATGAGCTTTGAAAGTGATCGATTTGTGCAGCCAATGTAACCTGTCCCACAGGAGCAAGTCAATTCATAAATGCACATCGATGTGGTCCACAGCGGAAGTTTATCCTTAGCATCTATCTTTCTACAGACATGTAGTTAATAGTTGAATTCATGATTTGATTAAAGTTAGAATACCATGGAAAACCTGGAAGCACTGAACGACTGTTTCGTCCTAGTACGCGACGCCTCAGCAATGTGTTCATGACATCCCGAACGCGAGACCCGAACCCGTTCAGTGCTTTCACGTTTTCCGTGGTGGTCTAGCTTTAAACGGCTCATGATTTCAACTATTAAATTACTACAATCTCCACAAACTCCCATTCTGATAAGATTTATATTTAACAGACAACTATGAATACGAATGTACAGCTTAATTAAATGATTTCATCAAAAAGAAAATTTTCTTCGTTGGATTTTATTCACTTTTAATCAATCAAACGATAGGTTAGTTTAATTAAACTTACTGAATTTTATACGTAAAACAATAGACGTTTTTGCACTGACTTACATGTGATTTTGGAAAATAACAAATAGCTAAATTCATACTATAGACAACAAATGGTTGAGTCGTATTGAGTTGTATAAATGCAAAAATAAGCTGTAAGATAACAAAAAACAAAACAGAGACAGTAAAGAAATATCAGTTAGTCAAAACAATTTCTTTTAAAAGTCATGTCAATTAATTTTACTGTTAGATGTATACATTTTGATTGAAAACAAAGAGAAAATCGGATGGAAATGTCAAATTTATATTTGCTTTTACGTCTGTCAAATGAATAGATATTCTAGAGAACATCGAAGCCATGGATTATACCAGATATGATAAGTACCACTCTATACTTCAAGAAATATATAGAAAGTAAAGAAATGATTAAAACAATAGTTAAACAAAATCGTTTATAAATTAAAGAAACTTACATCATCTAATCTATGAAAATCAAGTTGAGAAATTACAGCTTGAGATGTTTCACAGTTATTATTTCCAATCATTATTTTCATGTTATCAATGTATAATTGGACATGGTCAGTATCAATGATATCTGTTTTATGATTGATACGGAAAAGATTGGTTTCTAATGCTAATCGAGCATATAATGGGAGAAATCCAGTATAGTGTGGATCATTTAAAACAGATTCATACCAATCCATATGAATTGATGCCTTTTTAGGATCATGAATAGCTTCTTTTTCTCTTGATAAACCCTCTTGGATCAATTCATTAGCACATTGATGTGCAGATTTAGCCAAACGACCAAAAATGCAAGTGAACTAAGATGAAGTAATCAAAATACATATTGATGTTATGTGATTAAAAAAAAATACACAATACAAAACTCTTACACAATTAGTAGAAGGAATTAAGCAGCTGATAGATAACATCATTATTGTAAACGATTTTGTAGTCGGCTTTGGAATAAGACACTTCTCTTACTAGTCAAAGACAGCCTCGTACCGTTGTTGTAATTAAAATATCGACAGACGGATAAATCATGACCGTAAATTTAACTGGAATTTTTTATGAAACTACTTGATGCTAAGAGAATTGGTTATGTAAAGAACAATAAGTTAACATTTTACGAATACTGACATTTTTCTTGTTTTTTTTCTATACGAAAGTAGGGCCCTATGTTTGAGTACACTATGTGATTTATTACGGAGTCAGGTTATTTATGATTTACAACAGGAATTTCGACATCGAACAAACTTAAAATAGTTCTATTCGTTAAATGAAATTAATAAAAGTAACATGTAATCAACTGATTCATAAAGAGATTAATTGTTTTTAAGATTTTATCTATTCATGGTTTATTTGCTCGTAGCCATATACGTTTTCTTAACACATGTATGAAGTAGAACTTGATTGAAGGGTTTTCAAACTTTAAATCAACGGATAAAATGTTGAAAATCGGAAAAAAATGTAACACACTTCCATCACGATTTATCACTTAATCCATGAATAAATGATAAAGTCATTATGCCACAGTTAACTATTGAAAACGGTTAGTAAATGAGTAAGTGTAAGTTAGTGAGGTTAATATAGAACAACTATATACGCAGAAGTTAATACATATTTATTTTTTATTTGAATATAAGAAACTTATTTTTTTGACATAACAGAGTATACATACACTTTCATTTTGATGCTAACGAACAGAAATTCGATTTGGTTTAAGGATAGTAACTATAGTTATTTGTCAATATTATGATAAAATACAAGAATAGTGAAATATTAACTTGAAAAATTAATATCACACGAAACAAACAAGTATATAGTGACAAGGAAGAGATACTTCTAAAGTTTATACACTCAATCATAAATACGTAGTGAAATTTGGCTTACTTCTTTGACTGTTTTTTGACGTCCTTTTACTGCAACCACCGCTATATCCAGTAAATCAGATAACTCAAAAAGATGTGTCCCTCCACACAATTCAGCTGAGATGACAGAATTAAAATCTGTTAGTTCATGATCATTGATTGGATGTTTTTGTTTTGTTATACACACAGTACGTACTTTTGCACTATATTCCTCCCAAGGGAAGTATCGAATTTGTTTCACCTTGAAAAATAGTATGAAAAGTGATTTTTAGTTAATTCAATAAAGACGGGCTGACATCATATACATAGACCCTGGCACAGATGTCGGTTCGCACAAGTCTCCATACCGTATTATCATGACAAAATGAAAAAAGAAAAAGAGGTCAAAGTAGCAGCAATAGTAGGATGACGAAAACTTGGGAATATGGTTTAAAAATGTATTGGGTTTAAGTGTCGAAAGAAAAGTAAAGAGTGAATGCATTTGCGTCATTGTGAGCCGTGATACCCAAAGTGTCCAACAACTGACCAATAAGGAATAATCAGCTGTACCAATATAGTAGGAACCCTTTAGACGCTTACGTAATAACAACTACAAAAAATTGGTAGATTATAAGATTAAGATTAGGTCTCAGGGATGTACACGTGCGTATCTAAGGACAAACATTGGAAGGGCGGAGACTAAAGTCAATATTAGCATCTCTGAGCACATGCTTCAGAAATTAATACTGAGAGGTCAACATACTTTTGATAGTACGACTGTTTATCATGTACTTAATTGTGGCAGGAGGTTTACATTTCAAAACTATACAAAATTACCAAAAAGCAAACGATTTTAAAGTTGTTTAGTTTGACTGATGGGATTTCTATTAAAAGCCTTAAAGTAAATTTATGTATTTAGAAAAATGTTCTAATCAGTCTTGCACTATGTTGATGACCAAAATTTAGTTGCATCACAGGTAATTTTGAACTTTCAATTATAAATCTATTCTCTTTACCCTTTTCTATACCTTATCTGAGATTTACACATTTTTGTCTTATAAAAAATCCTTTTTTATAATTGTTATTAAACAACTTATAACATATATTATTTTTTAGTAACTTGCTTCTACGCCTTTTAAAGTCTTTTTTCTGGAATGTTCAAATTATCTAACGTATAAATAAATATTCAGCCACTTAACCCCATCGCTTACGATTTCCCCACAATTATTACTCTTTCTTCCAAAATACACTGATGAAAACTTTTCTGACATTATGATATAAAGAATGTACACTACTTTGTTTAATCTAAATAATTAATACTATTTGTTTCTAGGTTGTAAATATCTGGAGAGAAGTTGTGAGATAAATAAATTCGTATTATTATGTTACAAATGTCTTTTTTGATTTATTTAAATTTACAAATGGGAAAAAGTGAATGAACGAACGATCGATTACTTTAGGAATAATTATAATTTCTATAACATTTCTAAAGCAATTAGTCCCTTTTATAAATTTCGATAGAACAATGAGAAGACGGAGTTGATCTGAAAAATGTGATGTATTTGCGCTATACATTTCGAACAATCTGGTCACACATATACTTGTCAAGGCATTTTTATATGAAAATTAATAAAGGTCAATAAAGGTCAAACAAACAAATAAAAGTACAACTAAAATAACTAAGGGGGGAGAAAGAATAAGAAATTGTCGCGTTATCCTAGGCCATAGAATGACTTAAGGATTACCAAGGTAAATTCAAGGTTACGACAAATTGTTTTTGTACACATAAGGGGGGTTTAAATTTACGAATAGCTAAGGCTTCAATAAACTTAAGAATTCGACCTTTTTCTATCATATGATGACGGGAAATAAGTATAACAAACTGCCATACGGCTGAACAAGGTACCGATATTTACTTTTTATGATTAAATTATGTGACATTCATCTGACGTTGTTGCCTATTAGTTCGCGTGACATGTAGAGTAACAAAATGAAATTGATACTTTAGAACACTAAGTGATATGGTGTAAGACCAGTAGGGCAGTTTCATTGCCTCATTACACAGAAGATGGGTATCCAAATTAAGAAATAACCAATGATCTAGGAGCAAAAGCTGCTCATAAATAAGCCTATTTTAAACTGGGTTTCTTCAGAAATACAACTGAAAATTGACCGGCAGATAACTAAGTATTACAGGGGCACTACTTACCGGTGACAAGAATTTGATAAGAATGTAAGCAGAAACCATTACTATAACATAAAAAGAAGACTCCTAGGTTGTAGTTCTGAGAATTATTAAAAAAATATTAATTCAGTTTTATAAATCCTCTTTTCCTATAAACAATTTATACGTATCTCCACTCCAGGTGACTACATTTTAACGTAGATAATATGAATAAATATTTAAACGCTTGTAACTAAGTTCACGCTATGCCGAATAAAAATCCGCAACTCACTTTTAAAGCATGTGCCAATTCTGTATTCCAAATGGAAATAAATCCATTTTCATTAATTAACTTTTGACACTTTTGTTCTAATTGTCTTGTAAAATTACCTAAATCTTCTTGCATTAGTTCTGACGCTGAACCAATAATAGCAGCTTTTACTGTGAAATAATCGGGGTGAGAAGTACCACCAATATGTTGGAATGCTGAAGAATGCGATAGCACTGATGACTCTAGAGCTGATGTAAATAAATGCTGACCAGTATGTGAACACATAAGATTAAATCTACGTTCCTGAAGTCGAAAAAGGATAAAATAAGAAATATATATTTCCTTATGGAAAATCGAGTTCAAAAGAATAGAAAAGAATTATACTAATGGCATAGTTATTTGAGTGGGTGCATTTTAATATTGTTCAATTGTTTTATAGGTTGTAAGGATGGATGTATGAATCACATTACGAGAAAATACCGTCTCTGCTGACAACTATGTGAAACTTAGTACGTCAATAAAAATTAGCATAAGGCATCTGCGAAGATTTAGTATTTTCAATTTTAGATCATAATCTTGGCTAAAACTCTATTTGAAAGCTGAGAGCATTGGGAGGTCGATTCGTCCAAGTGTGGGACTCATCAGTAGTGCGCACCTACAACCCCACACACGGGAATCGGTCTCGCGCGAGAACACTTGCACACTCTAAGCTACTGAACCAGCATCTACTAGTGTTAATGTCCAACTTCAATCAATCCACATTATAGAAATTCCATCTACCATTTGACGCAGATAACGGTCTCATACTTCACACGGATTGAATTCCACCGCGTCCATACTAGGACGAAACGGCCGTCCAGTGCTTCCAGGTGTTTACTGGTGGTCTAGCTAAGATTACTTCGTGATTCTATTGGTATCTTTATTTTAGATGAAAACTAAGAACAAAATAGAAGAATCCACTCTAAATTCGACGAAAACAACAACGGAAGTTATCTCATGACAAAAACATACACTACAAAAAGATAGTAGATTAGAATGATATAAGCTCAAGTAAGAAAAATAGTAAAGTCAGCGATCGATACATGATTTCGGATAGTGTGATAACACTACAACTGCTATGACTGTCAAACACAAATGAACGAAAGTATAATTAAAATGGTGGTTGGTTTTAAATACACAACGTAAAATGCGTGTTGATATGGAAGAAGCTAGACAATTTGGACTTCGCAGATGACCTAGTCCTTCTAGCCCATACACACTAATAAATGTAAATGAAGACAACTAGCATATCAACAGACTTTGCAACAGTAGATATCAGCATACACAACAGAAAAACAACATCCTCAAATACAACACGGAGAACACCAACCCAATCACATCTGGTGGAGAAGCTCTTCAAGAGGTGAAACGTAAATGCAAGAATTGACAAATCAAAGGCAGCATTGCTACAACTGGAGAACATATGTAACTCAAAACAACTATCAACCAATATCAAAGTCAGAATCTTCAATACGAATGTCACGACAGTTCTACTGTAAGGAGCTGACACTTGGAGAACTGCTACAAGCATCATCAAAAGATGCAAGTATTTATAAATCATTGTCTACGAAATATACTGAATGTCAGTTGGCTGGATACCATCAGCAACGTCCTACTGTGGGGGAGAACAAATCAGGTTTAACTGAAGAGGAAATTAACAAAATATGTTGGAAGTGGATAGAACATATATTACGGAAATTATCAAGCTTCATCACAAAGCAAGCGCGAACTTGGAATCCTGAAGGGAAACGAAAAAATGACCGAGGAACACATTAGGCCGGCAATTGGAAGCAGACATGAAAAGGGACTGTCCAGGACAGAGATCGATGGAGAATGCTGGTGGGCGGTCTATGCTCCTCCACGGGGGATAACAGGAGTAAATAAAGTAAAGTAAGAGTGTTGACAACTATCGCTCACTACAGGTCGAAGATCGTAAGAAAAAAAGAATTGAAATGCCTTTAATTAATATAAATATGATCAGTAATCCTGTAGATTATAATATCATAAAAGTGTTCATGACAATATCATGTTGTGGTGACCGTTAACTGATGATAAATTCTCACGGAAATCAAGTATGAATGATTTATCAGAGGATTTATAATTAAGTCATTAAAATTATATCGCATGATACAAGAAAAAATGTACTCACTTTATCAATACTTAAAATAAAAGATTGATCAAAATTTAGATTATTTAATGAAGGAAATAAATTATCTGGTTTATGACACCAATGTATAATCCAACCATTAGTTGAAGAATTCGAAATAGGATCAGAAACAAAAGTTGTTTCAATAACTTGAAATTGGAGAATCTGAAGGTGAGCAATCAAAAACAAATAACGACAGGTACAGTATTTTAAAACATTAAGTGTTACAAAGGATAAAAATGTTACGGTATGGAAGCTAATGAAAAAAAAACACGTAAAAATATAATAAAGCTAATTCGAAAAGTTTATATAATTACTAACCGTCACTCCTTTATTTCTTTACAATATTATAACTTTATCTATGTGAAGTATACAAACGCATTCGTTTGCTAACATAAAACTAGTGGGTTAAGAAAAGTCAAACATTTTTGTTATTATTCACTGAAATGCAATGAAGAGGTGAAGTCGACCGATGACTATTAACAAAAAGCATTAGTTCGATAGAAAATGTAACAAACGTTAAACCGAATTTGTTTTAATACATAATGTTTAACAACATAGTAAAAATGATAACAATTTATTTATTAAACAAAATGTAAAGTTACTTACTGGATAGTGATCTATTAAACAAAAAGGCTTAAACATAAATAACTCTGGAAAACCTACATTTATCAATTGATGAAAGTTTGTTTCTGATCTTATTTTCATTTCATCATTCACTATACACGTAAGTTAATCATTTAAATCTAATAAGTGAAGCAACATACTACAGTTATACCAAAAAAACTAATAATTTAAAAGTAAACTCGATATTTAGTTACGTGAAGGGAGATAAACTGGCGACCTGATTGAATATCTGAACTATCTGTTCCTGTCATCTAGATATTTTAACACGTTATTTGCTTTTGTTTGTTTTAACACCATTATTTCTATTAGTCGCATAACCTATTCAGGCGCATTTATTTGAAGTTTACGACCTTTCGCTGTACAAGTTACAAAAAAGTACAATGATAGACATCGTGGTAGCTGGCAATATGCATTTAAAAGAAAACATTATTCAGATGTTGACTCTTGGAGTGATAACATTTAACTGTCTATCAATCAATATTTGTCGTCAGGACCGGTTAAGAAATAAGAAGACGAAATTTATTGAAATACTTTGTGCTGAGAATTCTATGTTGTACCAAAAATATAATTTTGAGTAAAGCTATTGATAATAATAATAATAGGAATAATAATACTTATTTACGTTCACACAAAATATTTCTTTTTGGAGTATAGTTTCATAGAAATTACCTTAGAAGGATAGTGAATAAAACCGGTATCAGTGTCTTGACCACCACATGATGTAAAAAAGTTAGTTTTTTCAAAAATAAAACCGAGTAAATTATTAGCAATTTCATTATTTGATGCATCGCATAGATTTTGAATGACAGAAGTGACATTTGAATCCGATAAAGATTGTTTTGTAATTAACGTATAATCTGTATCTTTATTACCAATGGCAAGTAATCCTAGTAATTTTGTTTCACAATCTGGGAAATCTATAACAAAGAAAAAATATATGGTGCGGAGATGAATGTATATGTATTAAATTGAAAGCTCCTATGGTTATATTACTCTCATTCGGTGAATTTATCGCAGTTTGATCAAGGATAACAACAAAACACATTATATAGAAGTATACAGTTACGTTTTCGAAAAAAGTGTCTATACAGTCTTGTTTCTAACAAACATCAAATATGTAAACAACTGACTTGACAATCAAAAACTCATTTCATTAACCTGAGTATGAATATTGTGTTGAGATATCCTATCACAAGAATATCGCGTAATTTACAAGACTCGGATAGACATATTAACAGAGATGATTACGGTACTACACTACTCTACCACTTGTAGTTAAATAAGTTTATGTGTTAACCAAGTGATTAATAGACATAATGAAGGGATTTTAAAGCTTAAACATGTGCTATTATCTATAGCAAACAGAAATCCATTCATGATATGGAGCGTGCTCAACCTATTCATAATATGGTGACCTAAATATCAATAACTTTAAGAGTCAACGAAGTTTGAAAGATATAACAAATAAATGAAGCATAAATATATACATACCACAGGTAACCTAAAAGAATCTCAATGACTTACTTCTTGGTCGCCTATACTTTAGCATTTATTATAAGTGATTACTATCTCTCTACTGGAGATCAAGGGTTAAATTTAAAAGAAAAACATGTTTTCTTCATTGAGTTAATGAAATAAAACAGTTTCGAGCTATCTACCAATTGTTACTAGTCACTTGGAGAAATTTCTTTAACAGATATAAATTTAATACCACCATTTGGAGATTCACGTTTCAGATTTCGCATATAGTAGAAGCTGGTAGAAAAATACCTTAAATTATGAACTTGAAATTTAGAATTAGTGGATTCAAGAAATATGCGGCATACCAGTCGTTTCAATCTAAATCAAGCTTTAAATAAAAAACTGACATGTGATAGTGTAATGCAGTCTATAACTCACCGTATTGTCCAGTTGCATTTAGATCCAGTTCAGATTTTTCATAACAATTATATTTAAACGAATCATCCGTAAACGGTACACATAAATTATGCAACTGACGTGAAATTACATTTGAATCTAGTTTCTGATTTTTAAACAGTAGTGGTTTATTCTTGTCCGATGGAGAGTTAGTTTCGATTGGTAAGGGTGGTAAAAGACCAGCCCAACATGATTGTGCACATATCATATCCCAGCTTACATGATGTCCATAATCACCGTTCATTAATTTAGTTACTTGTTCAGCTAAATAATGAAAGTAGTAATATTGATAAAGAAAAATGGTAAGTGTTGAAAATTCTCATAAAGTATGAGGTAGGTTTTTAACATTTGAGCAGTTGTATAGGTATTTCTAGAAGATTGAATTTTTAAGTACAAATTACAGGATTGTGAATACACATCTCAACCAGCTATTAAGAAGTGAGCAGATGCAAGCCGAAGATACTTTCAATTGAATTGAAGTATTAATCCGATGGTGAAAATACTTCGATATATTTGTAATGATCTTAACTGATAAAAACATTTATCCCTTAACGTGGGTGCAAACCGCAAATCTTCCAATCTAGTTTCTGATACGATTTCTAATTTAATAGTTCCGTTTACAATTTTAAAAAATACAAGGCGATAAATAGCATTGACTCCAGCTTATGTTTTGTCTTATAAAACGACGTAAGCCAAATATGTAGTAAAACAACTGAGTACCTATCTTTATCTACTAAGCAAATAGTGAACGATATACGGGTTGTGGTTACATCATCATGTGCAACACAGTGTCGTGACTGTAAGATTTTTCCCATGGATTACTAAAACCGTCACTGATTCTATCTTCCTAGATAGGAGGATCTTAAATGGACGATACTTCGCCTGCCCCAGGAATTTTCAGTACAAAATGTTGGTATTATTTGTATAATACCAGAAAAAAATAGTTCATAAACTGATGGCGTTGAGAAGTCTCATTGACTAAAGTGATGGAGATATGTGCAATGCATAACTTATCACTGCTTATCCCGATGTGGCTAGAATTAGAGTACAGGTTGAATAAACGATAAACAACAACCAGAAAAAGACATGGTACTGGTTCAAAAGTAATTGCTCTGGTAGAGTCCAGAGATACTGGGTTATTACTATTACTATTATTTTCACTGGTTTACTTTACCTCTTGATTAATTTCCACTATAATGATACAAATTTGTAGCAGATTCTGCAATTTTTATGTTTGTATCTTCACTGAATTCCTTAAAAGAACTTATATAGCTGATATTAAACTGTTCATTAGTTAACTATTCCTTTATTCTTAAATTTGTTCCATCAATTATCTGAAACCAAAAACAATTTTCAAACAAACTTAATATGCCGATGTAATCGTGTAATTCTTTAACTCGAAACTTAAAATCATTTTGAAAAGACGTATTTCGGTTATAGATATTTTTCGAGTAAATGTTGAAGTAAATGAGTGTCCCTGAGATAAATTTGAAAAACGTTTAATTGTTTGATACATATTTTAAAAGTAGTCCAATAATGCTTAAGTTGATCTTGTTAGAAATCTCTCGATTCACACAATTATTGAAATATCACGATAAATCTGACATCGCACGAACAGTATAATACAAAAACACAATGATATATAATACATTTAATATGAGTAAAAGTCTTTACTGATCTGTTAGCAATAAACAGTAAATAGAACTTAGCACAAATATATATCGCCTCAAGTTGTTACACTTCATGGACAGAGGTTGTATTTTATTTTAGCCTTTTCAACCCACCTTTCAAGCAATTCCTATACCAACCAATATTGCCACATGGCAATAGAGAGGGGTTAACAATCCATGCTACATATTTCAGTTACTTTAACCGAGGAAGGTCTATTTCCACCTTAAATGAGTTGTCGTGGATAGTTAATACGCTACTTTTAATATCAGAATTACCTATACGACGATAGCTCATGTTAACAAAAACCAAGGAGCCCATTAGTGTTCATCCCGAGGTTTTATCAGCCAAAAATCTATCTGAACTGATAATATTTTCGAGAAAGGTGAGGTGGTCATTGAGCAGAACTGTTACACTATCTACGGCTACATTAAACATCAATCTAGATCAATTCCAATCACATTTTATGAGAGATGGGATAGCTCCCGATAGTATTTAATTGTCACTCAAAAGGTTCAGACAACTTTGTATTGTATCAGTGTCTTTGATATACAAGTGTATGTCATCTGTGTACTCCGAGTCGATAGTAAAGTCTTCAGTTAGGAGATAAGTCCTTAAACGCTCACTTAGTAGGTGTACATCTAAAACAAAATCAAATCAAAATATAGAAAAAAGGCACAAATTACGTGAGCCAAAGCTCAAACATAATGGTTAAAAGTTAAATACTATACTTACCAGACTACTGTGTCAAGGCTGGTTGATAACGAGATTTCGAAGTGACACGTATACATGTAAAACTTAGTAAATCAGTCACTAACTTAGTCCTAATCAAAATGTGATACTAACTAATCATCAGATGATAGATTTCTCCCATAATCAAAATGACTAAAGAGCATACATACACTAGATTGAAATGGAATTGTTGATTTAGTAGAGAATACCTACATTTAAACTAGTCTGAGCTCAAAATTACAGTCCACGTATTTTTCAAAATAGTAATGATGTAAAAACGGAGCATTAATCAATACTAGATGTCACAGAAGAGTAAATATTTTATTAAAAGTACCTAGTTTGCATTTTCAATTCACGTACGTGCCTATTTTCCCGGAAAGGATCCCAGAGATTAAACAAATCACTGATTCGAGTTTACTAGTTCAGACATAGAACAAAAGTCAAGATTTCCTTGCCATATATATTTAAAGAACTGTTCTGGCCATAACCGTCACTTCCATTGACTAATTTCTCTGTAATAGTAATAATTATTATTTTGTAAAGTATATCTGTCAGTGCCTATATTTAATCAAGTTTATGTTGCAAGTTTAAACAAGTCAATTATTCTAGAAACATCACTGCTTCATATATTACCTGACAGTTGTCTCCTATCGGTGTATTCTTCCAAACATCGATTAAACGAATTTTCCATATGAAATAAACGAGGTGCAAACGAAGTCACTTCTTCATTAATAATTGACTCCATCTGTAGTAATTAAGAGTTGATTATTATCGAATAAGATATAAACAAACCAAGTCTAACAAAGATATTCAATTAAAAAAAAAAACAAATTAAAAGTCACACAATTAAGATTTTAGAGTTTAAAAGCTGCACTGTAAATGAATATTTTAAATATCCAATCGAATATTTTAATTTAACATAAGTAGCTTTGTACATAAGATACTTTTTATCACAGAATGACAGAAATTGAGGAGACCAGTTAACTCCAGAGACCACTAGAAGGTTATTCTGTTTTACTTTGTGGCTCTTGAGTAGAATTTGTTCCTAATCATTTTGATAACTGATGACCAACTTTCTTCAAATAAAATCAATTCACGAAATACTGGAACCACAATCTACAATGTCATTCAGTTAACATTCATCCACATTACAAATATATGTTGTGTACCATATAAATGAAAATAAAATAAAAATATCATTGATGTTATTTTTTGCATCTTTGATAGAAAAAAAAGTTCGATGATTTTGAAGTTGAACACTAAATTATTTGATCACTGTTGCAGATAACGGAGACATTCATCAGACGAGGATGGAATATATATATATATATATATATATATATATATATATATATATATATATATATATTCAGCTAATTAATCGAATTTTAACCAATAAATGATGATGACAACTCCTTACATAATGAGTCAGTTCTGAATCTTTTCACAGTTAAACTGTTCGCTATAGGTTGTTTGAATAAAAGAATACTGTTGATTAAGATTGACTATAAGATGTGTAGTAAACTAGTACCCCTTAAAGAAAAAAGGAAAATAAAAACCAAGTTGATCCAGTAAATAAAACAATCTATTTTAATGCAAAGTAATGAGCACATTATATGTTAAACAAGTCGTAGAGAATATTATTATGTGACAAATATCTTATAAACGCTTAAAAAAGTGAGAGTGGAACTTCACTCATCTAGCGTAAACACATCAAAACATTAAACTAATTGGGAAAAGCATTCGCTGAAATCACAGTAGTATACAACAGGAAAATATGATATAATTTATGTGGTCTGTACGAGTTCAAGAAATTTATAAACATTAATATGATAATCAGCTCACTTGTTCCGGAGTTATTGCATCAGACTTTCTACAGCTAGGTCCTCTTATGGTAGCCATTGTGTTAAAAAAAGACTGAAGACTGAGAACATCTCTTTTGGCTACTTCGGATACCAAAGCTCCCAGGAGAGATTTTAATTTCCCCGACGTAGTTATTTCTGTATCAAGACCACTTAAAACAGATGCACGAAAAGCTCGATGAATAAGCTGACGAATTTTCAGAGGTAAACCTTGACGTCCTGGTAATAAACCATCTGATAAGGCAAATGCTAAAGCACGACTATGATCGACCAATACTCGATAGGCGGTATCTCGATGCCACATATCAACAAGATCATTGTCCATGTTAAAATTTTTCCAAGAATGATCAAGGGCAAGATGTGATTTTGAACAGAGAGCCTATATAGGTAAGTCGAAGCGCACATGAATGAAACAAAATGAAACAAAAATTCACTGGTAATATAAACACTTTTTACAGTCGTCTATGGTGATTTATAAAAATGCAAACTATCACTGAAATTTAAATAATATTCACCTTACTTATCAACCGACAGAACACGGTGATAACTAAGAGTGGAACGCAGCTATTTAGACTTCTAGTATTAATGTTTCCTTTGACTCTTCGGTTTACTATACAAGACCACAAATGAGAGTTTTGTCTCCAGAGATATAATATTATAACAGTAATTTCTTTAATAATAGTGGTTTATTGTTATAACAAATTAATTCAAATAACTTTCCTAAAACCAATAACTTGATAACGTCTTTATAAATAAGGATGATAAACGAACTAACAACACCATAAATCATTAAGTCACGAAAGCGATATGTGTTTATACTTCATTTCTAATGGCCAATTCTTAACAATTTGCATCATCGATACTAATTAATTATATTTTTAGTTGTATAAGATCACCGCTTACATATTTACACTACCAGTTTGTAAGGATAACATTGTCGTTCTTAAAACAGTTTAAATCTTTTTTCGTCAACAAACAGTCGCATGTAGTTTATTTTCTTTCCAAAGTCGACATTGAATACAAAATTAAAATTTTCTGTGGCAATTAACGTTAAAGTGTTTGATTAATTTGAGTGAAACTAATAATTATAAATTAAGTACCCAATACTCTAACTAGCAACGTATAAAAATCTAAGTGAAAACCTTTTAAGGATATGCTTACAGAAGACGAAGATTTTCCAGATATTTTATTCCACAGAGAAGATAGAGTAATTTCTGATTGATCTTTGTCTGTTTTAGTTTCAACATCTTGTAGAGGATTGGATAAAAATAAACCTTGATAAACAGGCACAGAAGGATTACATGAGTTTGCCTTTGAGTGTATGAATTCCATTAAGCTATTCATTTCATAGGAATCATAATTCGACGTCATTCCCTGTAAGATGATTATTGAAAAATGAACAAGATCAAACAATTGGTAAAATAATAAAAACAAATGGATGGGTCAAGTCATTTTTATGTTTTTAGGCAGATCACATAGTATTACTGTTATTGTCCTTTTAGGTTTCAGGATTTCAAACAAGCTAACTGAGATTAAACCATATCGTTTGATTTTTCTTCTACCAGTCTGTTAGGTGTACTTCGATCTTATCTGTCAAATCACTGTTTACTGCCAGTTTGGGAAAATTACTCCCGTCACTTAGTAAAGCGTACATTTTTTTGAATAATCTTTTCTGTCCATCCGAACTACTTTATAACCTTCGTCTGGTTTTGAGATTAACAAATTGCCACTCGTTCTAAGTTCATGTGAAACTCGTTTGCACTTCTTCGTCAAAATGCCTTTCGAGTTATATCTGCTGCTTAAGTGTTTAAAGCAGTAATTACCTAGTGTATATTTCAACTTTTCGATATCATTGTCGAAGGTACTAACTATACATTCCGTTTATGTATACATGTTTTCCATCTTACTAACCATTTTCGTAACATAAAAAAACTTAGGGTCGATTGATAATACTTCCAACTTTACCATAGTAAGATCAAAACTGGTGAAATTATCAACATCTTGACCTGGGCTTGGTGAAAACGTAATTTCAGAAACTATTTTTAGGTTTGTCAGTAGCTAGATACGTTTTTTATCTTTACTTTCTATAGCAATCATCATCACGTAGCCAATAACATTTTGTTTTGAGAATTTTGATAATTCATCGACTGCATAAAATTCGTCTCCAAATACTTCATTTATGAAGAAATTAAACAAACAAATTTTGTTTGACGTATAACTTTTCAGCGTCCGCCCATTAAGTCGAACTCTTGAATAGCATAAGGATTCTCAGCATGATTTCAAATAGAGGTTTGTTTAAGTGGGAATTTCCGCTTTATTGAAATCTTTTGAGAAAGGATTCACAATTTGTAACTGAACTACAGCGTATGGCTCAGCGAAGCAAATATAAACACTGGATTTACAAATTAAAGCACAAACGGAATGTATAGTTAGTACCTTCGACAATGATATCGAAAAGTTGAAATATACACTAGGTAATTACTGCTTTAAACACTTAAGCAGCAGATATAACTCGAAAGGCATTTTGACGAAGAAGTGCAAACGAGTTTCACATGAACTTAGAACGAGTGGCAATTTGTTAATCTCAAAACCAGACGAAGGTTATAAAGTAGTTCGGATGGACAGAAAAGATTATTCAAAAAAATGTACGCTTTACTAAGTGACGGGAGTAATTTTCCCAAACTGGCAGTAAACAGTGATTTGACAGATAAGATCGAAGTACACCTAACAGACTGGTAGAAGAAAAATCAAACGATATGGTTTAATCTCAGTTAGCTTGTTTGAAATCCTGAAACCTAAAAGGACAATAACAGTAATACTATGTGATCTGCCTAAAAACATAAAAATGGTTCGATTCATCCAAACAGTTTTGGTTATGAATAATTCTGCATATCACCTTAGAGCGTAAATGCTAATAAAATCTTTGGTAACAGGAAGTATTTACTATCAATATTAAACTGGAAAATAAAACTTAAGAAGTACAAAAAACTTTAATGAACTAACCTGCATCACACATGCTAGTCGTTCTAGTCCCATTCCAGTATCTACAAATGACTTATTTAAAGGTTGAAGAAGGTCAGGTTTCAAATGTTTCTCTGTCATATCGTTATCAGCTATGATACGATGTGTTATGAAAACACAATTCCACAGTTCCAAAACTTGAGGGCTAGAAGTATTCACTAAACAACGTGCGCAGTCTAATTGGTCTCCACCGCAGAGTGCTTTGAAATCTATATGTACTTCAGTTGACGGACCACACAATCCTCCACCACTAAACTGATTTGCACGCCAAAAGTTTGATTCGATACCGAATGGCATTAATTTTTGATCCATCACCCTGGAATAAGATAAATTAAGTTTAATATTTCAGTATTGGTCAGAAACAGTGAATCATATTATTAAATATTTTCATATCTTATCGAATATTGTAATACGAAGGGTTCATATTACAAAAATATTTTGTACTGTAGAAAACCCAACTATTGACGAGATGATAGTATGATGTAAATGAGTTAAGTGCCACATAATGCGTGAGTTGTATTCAATGTCCTTTGTGCTCTGGTAAATAAAAGTATCTAGCAGAAGAGAGTGGTGATTGCTTCGTGGAGCTGTGACTACGGCCACTACGTTGTACGTTGTAACCCTCACTCGAATTCAAGGGCGCTAACCTGTGTTTGGTAGAAGAGTGGAATAAATAAGGTAGATTATTTCTCTTGACAACCTAAATAGCAATTTATTATAACAGAAGAATATTAGGCTGGGTCTACACAACTCAAAGTTTATCTCCAGCTGGACTAGGAAACTTTCCAATTCATATTTAAACAAATGTACGTCAGTAGGTTTTTCTTCCCTCACATTGATAATCCTAGCTTCATGCTAATATAAAAACATTTTAGCTAAGATCAACAAAAAATAAAACGGTATGGTAGATCAGTTAGTTACATCCACACCACAAAAAATTGAGAAAGAATAATAAGTAATAAATCTCAAAATGCACTGAACAACCACAACAATTTAAAAATACGAAATTCTTTTAATTCGTACACACAAAAAGATGAAACTTTAACGCAGCAGACTAGGTGCCACCAACTGTTTGGTGGGTCAAGAGTTAAAATATTATTTCACTTTGAAAAAGGGTCCGATGTATGATCGTAAGAGAAAGTTTGCATAAAACTGAATTATAATAGTTTCACCTTGGAAAAATTGACGTTGTTTAAAATATATACAATCATACGCGTAAACTTTACTGCGTGAACGAATAAACGAATATAAAAACTTCACTGTTTTTGAAGTGATTGTGATGAGTATGTAAACAGATGAAACTCAGTAGCTAAGTTCATGCTCATGTTTCATATTTATTGTGTGGAAGTTAGTGACGCTAATCGATTATTCAGATTTTGGTCTTTAACGGCATGAGTCTATCGCATGAACATTTATTCATCGCCTACTGATGGATACTCATATAAATCGAAGTAATATAGTCGGAAATATTTTCTATTACTCACAACTAACTGTTCAACTATCCAGAAAATTAGTCTAGACAATGGATTATCAACTTACCCCAAGTTCAGCCAGATATCACGTGTCTCATCATCTGGAGGAAGTCCAAGTTTTTGATCACCACCGAAATATGTTATGTAAATTGCATTGGTAGGCAGGTTTAACACCTTAGTAAGAAATTTCCAAACCTGAGAGCAAGCCCCTTTCTAAGGCATACCACAGTCACGTAAAAAAAAAGCAAAAAACAGAGACAGCAACAATTTTCATAGAATTATTTGAGCCACAAAGGTTTAAATCATGTATACTAAATAACTCTGAATAAAACAGGTATGGATAGTGGGTGATATATCTTAAAATCGGTTACAATGGTGCAGGGAAATTCAACCTTCTTTCGTTAAATCCTGAGCTCGGTTATAATTGCATGCATATCTTTTTATTTCATTCTCGTTGTATTAGGCATTTGTCTCTAAATAAATAAGACGGTTTTTGAATATGACGGTGCGACAGTTGGCCTCCTAGTTAATAGTCATTGAAACTAACAAATCAAACGAATGTTTAGTGAAACTCATTTACCAAGAAAAGGTTTATCTATTTAACCTTGAGCCATGTTTTTTGTGAGAGTGAATGGCTTCCAACTGTTGAAAATGAGGTCGGTAAAGCGAGGTTCAAAACCGTAATCCAGTGATTTAGATGTTGCCTATAAGTTAAGTGCATTCACGATTGTATTTGAAATAGATATCAGTGTACGCAAATTCAATACAAATTTTTGGACTAATGATTTGTTCCAAAGAAATTTATCAAGACGGAATAGACTAAACGAAACATATCCATGATAACTCTTATTTTCCACGCTTAGGACACAACACAAAATCGTCAACCATCATGAGTTAACTAATTTGGTGAAAATGAACACACAATTAACTGGTTCCATACTAATCAAAATTTTCGCCCATAAAACTCAGACAAACCTTATAGTAGTCCCCGAACGACCAACTGCCCAACATTTCAAACATTGTATGATGATGCCTATCATATCCCACATCATTTAAATCATCATGACGACCACCGATTCGAATACATGGCTGTGAGTTCGTAGCACGACGTAACTGCTTAAATTCTGAACAAATACTATCCGACTGGTTGAGAAAAATTGATTTAAATTGGTTCATACCTATCCTGACCGAATAGAAAAAAAGTACAGGAAAACCAACAAGTAACTTTTAAAAATTTAATTTAATGAAACTATATTAATGGAATGCATTGCTGAGGAGTCCCACAATAGGACGAAAGGGCAGTCCAGTGCTCCCAGGTTTTCAATGGTGGTCTAACGTCAATCGGTTCATGATTTCAATCAGAAACTTAATGATCGCCACAACCCTATACTGTTACTGTAATGAGTTACAGAGCAAAACATGGTGATACTACTCCATAATTAAAATCTCGACAAATCAAAATACAGAACTTGCAACTCATTAGCAAAACACCAGACCCCTAAACCTACGAGGTAAGGCTGCATATGAAATGCAGTAAGGTAATCTGAAACTGTAGCCAAGATAAAAAATATTAAATAACATGACAGTATTGCAAAGTTTAGAAAGACCATATAAGATTATGAGATAAGGTTATGTTCATAAGCAAACAATCTGTAAATAAAAGTACACCATTTCTTAACAAATATTATTGATGAAGTACTTTCTACATAACCTGATTTTTGAGTATGTGAGAATGAGTCTGGGAAATCAATCCTAATGTATGAGTTGATATCTACGATGGACACTAAAAAAATGTTTACGTGACAATGAAGTGCATCCTCATGAAGAAATGATAATTCTATGAAAACTATAAAAATATAGCATTCTAAGTAAAAATGAAGCTTATTTAACATACATTAATGCTTAATGTAGTAAAAGTGACAAACTAAAATTTACTCAGTAGAGTAATTGGAAAACTTTCACTGAACAATGATTCCCATCTTAACGAATCCTTTGACAGTATCCTCAAGTAATTTAAAAATGAAATGCTAAAAATAGTATGGAATCCTATGTTCTTGTATTGTGTATTTACAAATATAGTATACTAAGATAAACAATGCCGGTTATAGGATGTCCAAAGATTAGGCTTAACAGTGAGATTTTAACTGATTGAAGAATGAGTGACCTATAAGTTATCTATGACATTTTATCATGTTTATTCTGTGTTCTTATTCTGTATACGAGCACGTTGTTTTGTTACATAGAAAACTACTTATCTGGTTAGTGGTCTTACCTTAGACTTCTAATTATTCGAGGGCCTAACTCAATAATACAATCTCATGGGTAACCATCATTCGCCCACACTATATTATTGAGTTCCTTCAGAGATTGCCATTCCATTCATCGACTTCAACAATCAAAAATTTCATCTAGTCAAATCACAGAAAACTTTGCCCGTATAACAGGTAGGGACTCATGTGTGTTATAAATAGTAATTGGAAGTGATTAAGTAAATTAGCTACAGATTTCATAACATTTATTTAGAGACTATTAGTAATGATTGTGCTTGTATTTAAAAAAAAGATGGATGGAAATTGAAGCTGGATAACTTTAACACACAATTTACAAACCTGCATTGATGAAATAGCTTCCTTCGTGACGCTTCGGAAATACAGAAGCCGGTGCTACCACTGAATGTTGATGACTTCGGAAAAAATTAATAAATTCTTGTCGAAGTTCCGAAGCAGAAGAGTTTCGTAAACGAATAGATGATGCAAGAGAAACATGTCGAGGGACTGACTGATCAGGAGCTAATGTACAACGACCAGTAGAATGTATATCCTGACCAGATGACGGTACTATTGCAAAACCTTTGGAGATTATATACGATGGATACTTCTGATCGGACTAAAGCATTCGAAAGCAAAGAAACAATTACTATTAGAGTATATTTAATAAGTGAATATTAAGTATTAAAAAAAACGCAGGTTTCCAAGCAACGAATTATCACTGGATATAAATAGCTTGGGAAAAATAAAAAAATAGGTGAGTACAAACCAGTTTCGTGTAAATTGCACGTCTTAATAGTGATAAGGGTGAAATATTGATACAATGGATGGTTAAAATACTTTTTCCCACTAGTATATTACGACAATAGGTTATTAAGATGAGACTAGTCACGTTATATCAGATCCAGGATTCACGACCGAGAATAGAGAACCAGAGGATCGAATAGATAATACTTTGTTCAACACAATTACAAGCAGTCACTTCCAATGAGTCAGGATTAAAAATCAATGAGAGGAAAGGAAATCACATATTTAATAGTTATTAGGCTATGACTGCCTGTCCATACTAAACGACCATTCATTTTTACTTTGACTCCCACACATCAAATACTAAAATAAATTAGATTACATAATGATAGTTACTGTTTACTTTAAATTTCTACCGAACCTGATTAACCCAAATACGCTATACATATCGTTTGCAATGGCGCAGGTGCATACACTCTTTGTGTTCTCCTAAATTTTAATCTCCTGATTCCTCCTTGTCTCTTTTTTCTCTTCCCAAATTTATTTCACTGGATTGTACTTTTTGAATAACATCTCCAAACCCTAATTTTCCCGATTACTACTTATACTCTTACTACCACTACGGTAATTGAATCGACAACTGCATCTCTGTGCTGATGTGGTATGGCAACCCGAACTGATGTACGTACGTACGAAGTTCTACGTTGTTACTGACTGACTGCTGTACATATTTTATAACTATTATTATCGCCCACGCTACAAGTGAAGCAACTTGGTAAAAGCCAATCAAACCTTCTGAATTCGTGTCGAGATTTCGTCAGATACCGGAATATCAGTACCAATGAGACATCTACGCTAAATGAAGCAGTCAACACGCTCAACTACTTCACTTCCTATCATTAATTTGGGCGATTACACAAGCAAATCCTGAAGTGACACTTTGCACTTGGAGGGAAAGAATTGTATCTCAAACATGCTTGAATTGTTGATTAAGGAGGTCAAAAGACTCCGAATTTTTCAGCGTCCGCCAAATAGAATTATATCATCTGCGTATTATCAATCAACAAGTGAGTACACGTACTTTCAAAAGTCGAAAATTATGTCTATGTTCCATAACCAGTCAAACAGTGAATATGTGGTCCATACATACACACTCAGGTCTGAAATCAGCTTGGTTTTTTCGAGTTCGCTCTTCACGGACTCTAGTCAGATGTTAAAGTAAATATGTGTTTAGCTTTAGTCACACTTCTTCTTTAAGGACCAGTAATATTATCCATTCGCCTAAATTAAAGTAGGTGAAGGGGAGTTCAAGCCGGTGACCGAGTGCTTGAAAGCAGTGTTTTGACCACTGGAAAGTCAAAATATAAAACATCGCATGGATATTTGCAGACGAGCATTTTCGTCAACATGTTTCTAGTGAAACAGTGTAGAAAACCAGGGCTAACAGACCACACAAATAATAACTCAACCACAATGAGTTCTAAATCAATATTCCTAGCTATAATTTTCAATATAGCTTTGATTCGACCGCTCTTTCGACGGACTGTACGTGGTAAAAAGTATGTTTTCGTAAAACCGTGACATTTTACGACCATATTCCCTTTTCGCTGAATGTATGTCTTTACAAATAATCCCATTCCTTCACACTATACACTACACTTTAACAGTACAGTGTCACATTCGACCGATAGTTTTAATACACAGTCAGTCAGTCAGCTACAACGTAGCACCGGGCACATATATGCATCGGTTCAAGTTGCCACACCTCATCAGCACAACAAGATGAACAACAAACTCATATAAGTTAGTTCGATGATGGTAATATATAAAAGATTTCATATAAGGATATAGTACAAAAAAATCGTTCATAGAAAGAAATGTATGAAGCAATTTTAATTTCACCGTTTAAGGACAGACAAATAGTGTATACACCGACGCCATTGTGATCGATTCTCAGCCATGTAACCCAGGGTCTCCAACCATTGGTTACGATAGTCACGCGGACCCCAACCAAGTAGTCTGCATCTACCAACATGACACAGACCAGAAGTTAGTGACTCCAAGGACTGATGCCACGTTTTGGTTCGGCCGCCCCTAACGTTTTTCCAACCATCCCCAACACTAGTCAGAGTTGCGCGTCATGGTAAGACAGCGATAACTTTTTTTCATTCGCTTGGTGTCTTTCACCGCTGAAGCGTTAACCCGTAGTTATTTATTTTGAAATCAGACTATTTTCAAGTGCCGAAACATCAAAGAACTACTTATATACATCATTAGGATCCTATGGAGACGTAACCACTATCTTTTACCTTCACCATCTTACTTGAGACTTACTCGAGTTTTTCTGACCCGAAGGAAGAAGCTAGTTTTTGATTTTTGGAGGTGACAAAAAGCCATTGTTCACTGTTTAATTTTTAACCAACAAAGACAGCAGACGAGACACCTGTAATAAATGAAATTGCATGGAAAATGACTATATGGACCATACGGAAGACAAGAGACAAATAAAACTGACATTGCACAGCCTTTATTTTTATTATTGGTAAAAAAAGTTATTGTTGATGATATAAAAAAAGATTCATAGAATAAATGTTATTCGTAACGTAGTTCTAATAATTACAGGCCTATAAGTGAATCTAGCCTAGATTACAAGAATGCGATGAAATTTTAAAGAGGGCGAATTAGTACAAAACACTACTTGGTTTATTTTTCTTAACTGACTATGTACGCTAGACAAGACTTGTGCACACAGCTTTGAGAAAATCTGTGACTGCACACTAAGGACGTTTTTCAAATTAGCCTAACTCCAATAATCCCGGACCATTCAGGCTACAGTAGAGAGCGCACCACTCAAACTAAACAACTCAATGTTTTTGTTTCCTTTCGCTAAAACCTCACCAGAAATTAATGTTAGGCGTAAAAGATTAAACAAAAAATCGGACTACATATAAAGAAACCAAAGTGAAAAATATTATTTGGCGAAAAATTCCGCAATATGGAAATGATTTACGAATATATATAAGTAGTGTAACTCGTTACTAGAAATTGTGCCAAGAAATGTTGATTTGAATGTTAATTTGAAGAAAACTTGATAACATCAAGTATATTTCACTTTATTCCTTAAATGCAAACTAAATTTAAAAAAACCTAAACTACTGAGTAGGTGTTTAGAGCTGGGACGAGGTTGACTGTATAATACCCATCGTAAAAAGGCTTTTAGAGGGATTATTGATATAATAATGACAATCGTTGAAATACCTGACTCATAGAGTGGCAAGCAAAAAAACTTTTCCAATCTCGATGTGATATCACATCAAGGTTAAAAAAAGGAGTAAAGGCGAAAATTCATGTATATCTGCACATTAAAATGTTAAGAAAGATGTAATTTGTATCCTTTGATCGTTTAGGGTGACTATAGACATGAAACAATATCTCAGAGACGCAGAATTATAACATCAAGTCACTATTTTATTTACCTAAATGAAAAATCTCAACGGTATGCATGGTAAGTAATCTTTAATGCTGTGAGATCAAAAATTTCATAATAACAAATAGGATCATTTCGCCTCAAGAAGCACACCCCAATATCACTATCTTGGGGAAAAACCCCAAAATTTTATAAGATTCTGGGAAAATATTAGAGAAAGACCGAAATTTTCCCAGAACATTAGGGATTTTCGTCATTATTTTTCCAGAATCTTATGAAACTTTGTGAGTTTTCATCGGGTTTTTGAAAATTTTGGTTTTCGGGCAATTTATTTTAATTTCAACAGCTCTAGCTTTATCTTAATACGGAAAACGAAGACAAGAACAACACGTCAAAAAACCCACCAAAGAACATGCGACCCTGATGGGCGAAGCACTTTTAAAAAACGCGCTCAAAAGTACTAAGTAAAATGACTCTCAAGTCTTGTACTTATCCAGGCTAAAACATAAAGTCAAGTTTTTCCAACATAAGAACCTGATTATTCGGTAGTTTCGTGAGTCTGATGATGATATTGATGACATTAATGTTACTGAACAGGCATAACTGCTGAGGTGATTTTATTTTAAAAGATGACTGTCAGTTTACCACGTCTTTAATTTATGCTATGATAATCGGAGCTTGAATGTCATACTTTCAGAGACTCCTTCTTATTTTATTCCCAATTTTATTGCTAGGTTCCACTGCAAACGGAAATTCACTTTTTGGGCCAGGTCGTCCGCTTATATTCATTTGCGCCTCTTTCTTCTAGATTATTATGAACATATCGCTCTGGACACTTATTCGGCACATAACTTGCACCCATGTTCACAGACATAAGCCATGAATATTCATTCTTCACAAAAGATAACCAGCAGGGAAAACGTTCATCTAAAAAATGATACAAAAAATAATTTGAACGAATACAATGAGCTAGTCAAACGATATAGGAAGAAAGTGCTTCTCTTAGCATCCAACGTTTTTGGTTGTGTTTTAAAGACGATAAACGCATATCTACTCCAGAACAATAGATTCAAAGCAATAAGTTCACATAAGAGTATTATAATAAAAGTAGCCAAAAAAGGTAGCCGTAAGAACGCATTGCTGGATAGAATGAAATCAACATAAAAGAAGCAGTAGTGCCCAGTGGACAAAGCAACATTTTTGATATCAAAAATCTCGGAGTTTAGATCTAGACAGACCAGTAGGAGGACAAGCTAGAGTCTCACTTTATCCAGGAAATCGAATTCCCTACTTATTTGGATATCCTGGTAATTTTGAGGCAAATAATAAGAAACGAAGGGTATGTGAATGGGTGGTGAGCCATCGTTTAATCGTATGTATCGTAGAACCAAGTGCACATGTGCATCAGTATATGTTTCTAGTCCGTAGTAGTAGTAGTAGTAGTAGTAGTAGTAGTAGTTGTAGTAGTAGTAGTAATGGTAGTAGTAGTATAAGATATTGATGTGAATAAAATAGTTACAGTGACAGTGGTAAACAAAATCGAAAGTGTAATAAAATGAATCGGTTGTCGATTTTGTGGATAACAGCTTGCTGTGATCAAACAAATATCCAAAATCCTGGGGATGCTAATTCTAGTAGTTTCAAAATAAAACATTACTGAGGATGATTTATTACCCAAGGACAGGAAGTGTAATTGGATGATCTTAATGTCCATCTTAATGAATCACTGGAGAAAAAAATTCTGTAAGCAACACATTATCAGTTAAATTTCCGTTACTTATCAATAAATAAAATAATATATTTGTAATATCCCAAGGAGTAGAAAAATTGGATTTTCTGACTTTTCGTGACTCAGCATGAGCTACTTCTTCGCAGAATAAATAACTAGATCAAAATTAATCCAAGTCTAAATAGCACAAAAGGTCAACACGAGAATATTGTGTGCAATCAATAAAAAAAACAAGTCCGACTAACATAATGTCACGTCATTTCGGTCAAAGTGATTTATAAGTGACATGTTTGAAAAGTTGTGTATCTGTCCAGGGTCAGAGATGAAAAAATGTAACCTTGTAGTGCGAAAGGACAGAATTTAATTTGGATGTACGATAATAGTGAGGTGTGAATATCAGACATGGTGGCTTGGATAGATAATTCAAGTCGGATGTATAATGAAGCCTTCTTGTAATTAACATTTAACAAATTTACAATCTTACAAATCGTTGAAAACACAAAATTTACCTAAAAACCACTCTTTATAATTTGTAGCCCGATAATTCAGGAGCAGCATATGGTATCTTAAGTCAAGGGCATCGTAGCACAGTTGTGGAAGAGTGACAATTAATGCGAACACTATCGACTTTATTAAATGAAACTGAAACGGCTATAAAATTTTCTAACATGCTTCTTTTATCCACGAAACTGATGGAGTTTTCCAAACGATACGCTGTGGTTACATGTGAACGTTTCCCGTGTGCGTGAAATTATTTCATCTCATGCGAACGGAAGTATTGAGTGATAAAAAAAGTAAAGTCAACTCAACTTACACAAGTAATGTATGACTTAAAACCTTACAAAAAAATGCAAAGATGTATATTGGATACAAAACATTTAGAAACGAAATGTCAAACGTCGTATAAGTTTAACTACTGATATCTATAGCGCCCAACGTATAAAGTTATCTGTTATGATTCAGACTAGATAATGCTGACGGAATGAAAGCTTCATTTTATTGGGTCGTTCTTTAACAAGCAGAACTAGGTATGCAGCACGTACTGTACATGGTTAAACTCGGTCTAAGTGATGCTCTTGATGGTTTGGCAGACTATCCTGGGAGGCAAAATGTTGTTCTATGATTCAAATTTGCGGGTAAGCATTTGGTTCATGCCCTGTTGATCTCGGCAGAAACAAGAGTCGTGAGGCGAGTAACCCGTTACAAAGAGTCCTACCCTCTCTTTCGCTCCCGTATTATATTCAGGTCAGTGAAGTTAATGTGGGATAAATTTTGGTACAGACTGAACACTTATACAAGACTATGACGGCAATGTATAAACACTAAAAACTTAGGAATTTGCATTCCCGTTATACACTTAAGATATTCTGGCGTGCAACATAATAATTTTGTCACAAAGACGAATATATTAAATATGACGGATGCTCTGTGGTAAGAATGTTAATGCATTCTGGAATTGGATACAGAATTCACGTCAGCTCACAGACATAATCACGCCTATATAAATTGGGTTAAGAAACTACTGGAACAAGAATATAATTTATAATAAGATTTGATGCCTAGACTACCTTAAACTGAGTACATGAGATAGATTGTTAGTGACATTTGACCTTATTGAAAGCTGTTGTTGTGTTTGCTTTACAAACAACTAAAACCGAACTTTAAAATGCGATCCTTCAACGTATTTATAAAAAATATGATAGATAAAACAATTGATTTGACAAAGGTCCTATGTTTATTAGTTTTTAATTATTTGAAAATATAAATATTGGTAAAAAAGACCATCTAATACAAATGCGCCACATAAGTCACTTGATTTGTGTGTGGGCTGTAATACTACCTGGGTGTTCAAACTGCCGGACATTCATCTTTCGTCCTCTCAACTTCGTAAACATCGCCCCCGCCACGAGAAGGCAGTGAGCAGGATTTCTGTGGGGTTGGCTGTATACACGTGGCCATGTGAGAGCATTTTAGGAGGGAGAGTTAGCTCCCCCCACCCTCGACAGTATCAGGACATTTGGGATCACGAGCATCTGTCTCTAGTCAGAAATGCTCGTCAAATAAAAAATGACGGAAGACTTTAGGTCTGCTAGTTATCAATGCTGATAAACACCATGGTGGTAAACGTCAATGGTTACAACATTCCACGTTTGTGGAAGAAATCCAGCCAACATAAAACTACCACGCATTATTTGAAGACTGAGAAATACGTTTAAGGTTTTTTACATCATCTTATATGTTCACATAAACAACTCGTTGCAGCCACAGGTAAATTTAATATTCAGCACACATCCCCTAGCACGGATAAAGAAGGGGATGGGATAAAACGTTATTAACCCTGTCATGTAGAAAAAACTTTGGGAAAATATACTAACCAGAAAAAATATTAAACCACTTAGTCTGTCCTGGAAGCTTAGAGGTCTTCATCTAAAAGTAAAAGCAGAGATTCTCCGAAAACCACAAACGCAAACATGCTCCACATTCTATTCAGATAGTTTGAGGAGGAAGAACAAGTGCCAACAGATTCGAAAGTGACATACCTCATCAGAATACAAAAGAAGGGAAATCTCAACAAGTGTGAGAACTACACAGGCATCACATGACTATTGGTACAAGGAAAAGTTCTCAACAGTGTTGCTGAACCAGATGAAAGACACAATAAACGTTCAGCTGCGAGATCATCAGACTTTATTCCGTAAGCGTCGGTCGTTAACAGATCAAATCACGACACTATGGACCAATGTTGAACAATCAGTTGAGTGGAAAGTACCACTCTTATCAAATGCTTTGATTATGAAGAAGCGTTCGACAGGGTGGTAGGAGAACATTATAGAACCTCCTTCGACACTACGGTGTACCTGAGAATATTGTCAACGTCATCCGGTATTAGTATAATGGACTACACTGCGAAGTCGTGCCTAGGGGACAGCTGATAGACGCATTCCAAGTGAGGACCGGAGGCAGACAAGGATGTTTACTCTCCTCCTTTCTCTTCCATCTGGTGGTTGATTGGATTATGAAGACCTCGACATCTCAGTTAAAGCATGGAATACAATGGACAGCTTGCATGTAACTACGCGATTTGAACTCCACAGGCGATCTGACTCTTCTATTCTATACACACAGACAAATGTAGGTCAAGACAATCAGTGAAGTAGAAGCATCTGCACCAGTAGTCTTCAACATACACAAGCAATAAAGTAACATCCTCAAATACAACGTGGTAAACACCAACTAAGTCACACATGATGGTGAAACTCTGGAAGAGGTGGAAACTTTCATGTATCTAAATGGCATCATCGATAAACACAGTGTGCGGAGAGTTGGAAGCAGATATCAAAAATGAACAGCACTGGCCAACTAGTGGAACGGAGAGACCTGGACAGATTTTGAAGGAGATTGCTGGTTGGCGATCTATACCCCACGACAAGGAACATGTGTAAGTAAACAATGATCGGTATATTTTGCGCGTTATTGAGTTCTATTAAAATTATCTCGTTTCATTCTGAAGTGACGCGAGTTAGGTTTTGTATGATTTCCCAACTTCAAACTCGTCATCGTAAAGCCATAAGCTTATTGTACTGAATAAAGTATCAATGCAAGTTGCTGATAATCGCGTTTTTCATTCAGTAGTAACCAAATAGTTGTGAATCGGATCTATGTAAGGTATAAATATTTCCAAGATATTTCGTGTTAGTAAGTCTTTGAAGCTTGATCGATCTGATAGATTTCAAATACCTCTCAGTTGAATCCTTCCATTAATCGTTTTTAATTCCGACGCACCCTGCACTAGCTACAGTATTGTTGTTCGAGATTATAAAATAAACATGCAATGTTCTCCTAGTGATATTGCTTGGTGTTCCATAGAAAGAAGCCCTAACACTGCTTAAGTATTAATTAATGTTTCGACTTAGATGAGGATTTAGGTAGTAAATACTTCTTTCACTTCCCACATTTCATGGAATATTTCACATAACTAGTCTCTTGAATAATATTAAACAGTTCAATTAGAACAGAATTTACTAAGTAAAGTAAATTTATTGTAATTTCTCATCTGATATTCACAATTTAAGTGAATGGTGAATGTGTCAAATCCACCAAAATGCGCATATCTCACAAATCAGAACACATAATAAGATAAGTAACTGTATTATCAAAGTTCATGTGAATAACAATGACATGACCAAAGTTTGTTGATGAGTTCATCCTGTTTGTCATACAAATACGCGTTTCTAGACTACCCAGATATTTATCTATATGTTTCCAACGATTGTAAACTGCTGAACTATTCAAATGGTACGCCTCAACTGAGATACCAATAAAATTAAGTAAATTTCTCTTATTTCGAGAATAATAATTCAAGGTGATTATTTAGAAAGCATTTTTTCTTCTGTGATCGGATGATTTCCATAAACAAACACTGAGTGATTGGGGTGTTCACTTATATAACTGATTTGGAATGATTTAAATGTGGTAAGGCAGGGTAATAAACTCTTCTGAATAGATTGTCCGAGTCTCGCTTTCGCCAATTCCATGAACTCAGAAGTGCATGGTAGAAATCATATTTAACACTGTTGTAGCTTATACTCAACCAATTATTAAGCAAAGAGCTCATGATGATGATATTTGTTGAGGTTTTATACAAACTGCTTACTAGTTAATTACGTCATTGTTATTAAAGATTACTAATTCGCTGGTATGTTGATCCACTCGTTGACCACGATCTCAACACCATAAATTTCTCTGGTTTCAACCTTATGATCTACTTTTTACAAAGTCTCTAGATAATATTCCTTGAAATGAAAGGAAAAACACAACTGATCTGAAACAATTTGTAGAAAGATCAGATACTTTTTTAATTTGTAAAGGTTGTCGAATGAATCCTCAAATAGGCTAACATGAAAACGTTTGAGATGGCTATCTTATTCTAATTTTTCGAAGATGGTTCAGTTTATTGTCAGTTTGTAATGAAGACTATGTTGAAC